CTCTTGGAAATTTGATGGAATCGAGTTAAGGGGAGTGCCCCAAACCCCATTGTACCATAACAAGACGCGAAGCACGTGGATTTCAGAATAGCAGTAGGTTATTCAGTTTACCTCTGTTCGAGTGCACTTCACGCAACCTCTTCTGGATGTCTGTCTTCAATGCACAACAGCTGAACGTGCCGGGACATCTGTAAAGTTCCGTAAACTCATGCTGGCCGTTGCTACTGCATCTATTGGAGAGATGAGATTGCATGCATTTCCCAATGGGAGCTTCGCAATTTTGGGAGTCTGAAGAAGTTGATAAGTTTCCTGGTTTGTTACTATCTGGGACAATCTCTGTCCTACAACAAAATGCTTCTGTTTCCTCGCACTTTGTTCCAAACTTGACAGTACCAGACAAACACGAATCAATCTCATCCCAGGAAACGCATTTGTCCATACAAGGAGGCAATGAAGGAGGTGTCAGAGAGAAAGTTTCAATGAGGCAGCATATTCTGCTCTCGTGGCATGACGTATTTTGGATTTCCGTCCCAGGCTTGCAAAGGTTAAATATACCATGATCAAGGCATGCGTGGGTTGAGGGGCATGCTCGATTCTTAGTGTTAGTAGGCATTGATAACTGAGAGAACCGGCAACAGAGCCGATTTTTCCCAGGGCAAGTATAGGGTGTAACATTCCCTTCATCGCACAAGGGACTAAATTCTTTTGCTAAACACATATAACCACTGGAGTTGGGGCACATTCGATTTGCCGGCGTTATCGTAGTTGCTCTTGTAGTTGCTGTTGTTGCTGCTGTTGTTGCTGCTGTTGTTGCTGCTGTTGTTTTTGCTGTTGTTAATGCACTTGTTACTCCTGCACTTTTCCCACGGTCAGTAATCTCACAGTGACCAGTCACGGGGTCGCAGTTAGGAGCCTCGAGTTTCGAGGCGGATTCAAAAGATGAAATTCCATGTCCATCCGATGCGCCCTTCAACTCGCAGCAGTATTCCCCTGTTTCCCGGCATTCCGTTCCATCTTTGGCAGTCCCTGGCACACATAACGCAATATTGGCCCATGATACGCATGTGTTATTACAAGGCGGTACAGATGACCGTGAGGAAGTTTGTATTATGCAGCAGACTTCATTGTCACGACAAGATGTGCTCGAAATTTTCGTTTCCGGTCTGCAGAGAGATTCTGCCGTTAGACAGGAATGGGTTGTTGGGCAGGATCGTTCCTTTCCATCATCTGGAGCGATCCAACAACAGGTTTGTGTTGCCTGGGGACAAGAATATGGTAATTTTACACTACACCGATTGGTCGTAGCGAGAAATTGCTCATCTCTACAAGAAAATTCTTTAGGGCACTGGATATCCGACAGGCTTGCACGTGTTGAACTGTTTGTTGATATATAAGGCTGACAACATATCTCCTCGGGTCGACAGTTGCTGACTTTCGAGAACACCGTCCCTGGCTTGCAGAGGGGCAATAGTCCGCTACTGATGCAATTGTAAGGGCAGCGACGACAGGCTCTCGATGAACTCGAATCAAGGTCAGTAAATTCGGTTCCATTTTGACACATCCCACGAATGCTCCTCAGGAGTTTTTCATCAAGCCAAGCTAGCGAACAATCGCACAGGATAGGATTGCCTGAAATATAGCTTCCGTTCATTACCTTATTCTCTTTTGTGGTCCACTTCTGAATCGGTTCTGTGGTTCCTTGGGTGGTCACTCCCTCTCCTTAGGTAGGTGGAGCGAGAGAATCTCAAGGACGGGGCGGAAGCTCTATTCAGCCATTACTTCAATATTGTTATAGTCCAGAATAACCGTCGTATTGTACCCGAGACCTGGAAGAGACAGGAGCCATGTTTTGCTAGTCACAGGCTTGAAAACGTATCCACTGCTCCTCTTGCAAGCAAGTTATTATGGATTCACCAGTAAATCCCAGACTCATCATTCTGGTATACTGAGGGTAATGAGTCCAGAGCCAGAAATGATTGAGGGAAGGGATTGTGGAGAGGTGGACTTATCAATAGACTTTGGTAGCGCCTATTCCCATTATCACCGCCATTCTGTTTCAAAATTCAACATCCTCGTATTCCTATCAAAGTTAATGTGGGCACCCTTGACCTAGTGCGCCGTGGGCCAACTGGCGGGTGCCCTCCCTCTCCAGGTATGCGCGAATGGTGCTGTGGGGGGAAGTAATGTTTGGCCTTTTGCATACCTATTTCTCGGAATTGGGGAGTTTGAGGGGTCAAAATTTAATGAAAAGGGAGGAAATGATCTTTTATTGATGTTTAGGTCCTTTAAGAGTGACCCGGAAACGAGACACTGAAAACCATATAAGACTTATTATCACTAAAATAAGGTCAATTGCAATATGCAATATGTCCCGAGATCACTGAGTTAAGCATTTCGGGGCCTATATATAGTAAACAAGCACAAATGTTGCTGGCCAGGGATGAGTATCCATGTAATTCACTTGTATTGGAAGGGATCCGCTGAAATGCATAGTAAAGTAAGCTCGTTCTCATAAAATCCCATGAAAGCGTGAACGAATTCACTTTTCCCCTTGATAAAATGAGGTATCTTTGCTATTATGAAGTTCTGAAGCTTCCCGAGAATAACTCCTGGAAAGCAAAATTGTTTTAACCCCTCATTTTTTACGCTCCAGGAGACACGATAAACCTCACCTCACTTGCCAAACTGGTTATTCGTTAAAAAAATCGACTTCTTTGCAGTGACGACGCGCTAACGAGGAATAGTCTCATGAGAAGGCACACATCGTTAAATGCATTATGATCTTCCTTTTTGGGAGTAGTTTTAAGAATAATTGATTATCCTAGGAAAGCAGAATCACATACCGTCTCCGAGTTGCAATCGGATCTTTCTGCAAATTTTTGCAAGTTGAGCAACTGCTTTTGCCACTTGGACACGATCAGAGCTGGGTGCATGATTGTGGTCAGTGGATGACTCGGTCATTGGCTTGGCCATTCACACGACTCTAGATGCACGCATATGAACGCAAAACGATTCAAAATAGCGTCAAGAATGACTGCGACCCTTTGCCTCCCCTTCCCTTTCCGAACTGATATACATCAGGAACTCCAGGGCCCTGTTCCTTTCGACCCTCTTGTTCACCTTGCTTTCACCAGTGAGACTATCCTTCCCCGCGATGAAATAATATAGCGACCAAAAGTGCATGCGACCTTTTATCCGCGGTGAAGTGTCCGCGACCAAATTGGCCGCGACGAAAGCTCCTGTCACGGTATTTTACAGGGGGGGGGGGGGGGGGGGCAGCTCCCTTGGGACTGAATCTGGCGCCCCCTTGGAGGTAATAGTTTTCTCCCTTGATATTGCTCGGGTGGGATTTGGAGCCGTGTGAATGGCCAAGCCAATGACCGAGTCATCCACTGACCACAATCATGCACCCAGCTCTGATCGTGTCCAAGTGGCAAAAGCAGTTGCTCAACTTGCAAAAATTTACCCTATCTTTGCCCCCCCCCCCCCCCCCCCCGACCCTTCAGCCAAAATGCGCCACTGATCGTTCGCTTCTCTTCATCCCTCGAATACCAGGATGGTATTTCCGCTTTTCAGCCGGATTTTCTTCTCATCGATTTGCAGCCTTGACCTCCTCCGACGAGCCTCTCACATCTATCGGGAACACTGGGTTCTTGGGAGACTCGGTCTTCTCGTAGAGCCCCAACAGATAATCATTGAACTGGGCTTCCGTGCCCATCATCACGGATTTGTAGGTGGATCAATCAGACGAAAACCACAAGCGCAACCGAAAAACGAGTACGTTCACTCTCACTTGAAACAACCCTGAACAAGGTGAGAGAATGAGGCTGTCGCAGAAAGCGAAAGGATGAGGCCATCCCCCTTATGGTTTCCCCAAGGCCAGGCGCGCTACTTGTATTCCCGATAAAAAGTCGTCTAACTGTACATCCTTAGGGTCTCGATATCCCTCCTAAACTTGCACAAAAGTTCATCGTGTGGGTTAACTTGCATAAGAAAGAATCCATGCAAGTTAACATGCATGAGGAAAATCAGACGGGTTCAAGTTGCACGGTCTACTTTATGCAAGGTCAACTTGCATACGACATACACTGTTTCCGGATAGAATTCGTACCACCCACCTATAGTGGAGAATGGAGGAAGCACACATTCACAGAGGTTCCACTTCATCGTGTGATAGACGTAACCACCCGTGTGTAAGATGTCACTACCTGCAATCGATGCTAGCGCATCTATAGGGGGGTACGAATTCAATCTGGAAACGGTGCATGCGAGTATATACCACTGCCTGGGGCTCACCTTCGGGCCAAATATATTGTCTGAAAACAATTCTCTTAAACCTCTCGTTGTCAAGATGTTGGTAGGAAAAGAGCGAAATCTAGCGTCGAGACAAATGCCTGATTCTCTGGGCACATTTATCTCACTTAAACCTAGTCGGACTGATACACAATTTATACGACAGGCTTGGATAGACCATTGGCTAAAAATCTCGTTTCATGAGATATTTCGTGAATGGAGCCGATGTCGAGATCGAGAAGAGGGGAATGAAAGAGCCTTTGATGGCGTTCTACGGAGCATGGGAGTATGGGCCTCGTTTCCGGAGTCTCTCATCTCCCCTCGTCGATCAGAGCGCCGTCACGTCGTCTGCTCCCACGAGGAACTGGGATCGAGTAAGGGGATAGACTCCGTTCCGTCTCTACCTTCTCGCCCACGCTTCCGTGCTTTCTCTAAATGATTTTTTTTTTAAATTCAAACTAGGAAGCGGTTCGATTCAGGATGGGATTTAATAAAAGGAAGGGCGATAAACTTCGTTGACGATTCGGGAATGCTTCTTGATAAGTCCTCGTGGATGATGGCAACGCTGCAAGCGTTAATGGGATTCCCACGTGCGAGCAGGATTTCGTCGAGCTCTGCTTCGCGAATGGTTAATCGAAATGGCGAAACGCAAGCCACCCATTTACTGGCGATGAAGTGGGAGCAGGGCGAGAGCGGTCGAGTGTTGAATGATGTGTGCGTGAGGTCCAATTCCGTTGAAGCCGAATGATGCTGTTCGTGTAATGCAATGGTACCTCGTATTCATGGTGAGTTTAACTTATCCTCGGCTTAAGCCAAGTTTTTTTTTCCCCGCAAGATTTAACATCACACCAAAACCTTCCAGTTAGGTCAAAAGTAAGGCCTAAGTCATCCAGGTTGGCCTAATGTTAACGTTACACCTCAGTTGTACGGCGAGGCCAAACGTTAGGTGGATTTCAGACTTGAGATCCGATTTTGAATTCACTTCCCATGGTATTATTTTCTTGTCGTGCAGTTAGGCCTATCAATCTGAGAAAACTCAGGTTCTTTTCAAGGCTGTGATATATTTCTAACTTTTTCTAACTTTGCTTCATTATCGTGATGGATTGCCTCGAGCCCTATATCTTGTTATGTGTTCATTGTAGGCTCATCTCTTGGATCTTTGACAGTAATGTGTTGTGAGATGGAAAAGGGAAGAAGAAGGGAGAATCCCAATTCATTATGAAAGCAGGTTGTGTACCCTTCTTATATTTTGAATCATTGTAACTGGATGTCCTTGTGATTGAAAGCTTTCATGATTATTTATCCCTGCTATTCAGCCCAATAGCTTTCTTTCCAAGTTCTAAGGCAAATTCAGGAAGAATATTCAGTAGCACCAGTTGACTTTGCCCAAATAGAATTAGGAATACAACCTCAAGTGGCACAAGAGCCCATAACAGGCAATTAATCGTCACCTGAAGAAAATCATATGGCTATAATTTAATTTCTCTGTCCTTTTGTGAGAGCTCTTTAAGAAATGTGTAACCACTGGTTTCTTTTGACTTTCACCCTTGCAGAGTACATCTGAGCAGTGGAACTAAAAGGCATGCATGGAGATGTGCTGCAAAGAGCACCAAGCTGTGTGCCTTACAAGAAGAGGTCAAGGCCATCAATCAGAGAAGTGTCAGCTGCCAAGGCATGATGGATTTCCCCAGGATGGTGAGGTGCATCTATTTGTAGCCTGCTTCCTTACATGTTAAATGGAGTGAGATGGAAAGCTTCTTCTCTTAAATATTTCTAAAACTTGGAATCTCTTAAAATGAATCATAGATGATTGAAATCAAGCTAATGTATAGCAGTTTTGTTTCTTGAATCATATATATTTCATGAAGATTGTGCAGAGACTTTACTGTTTCCTCTGCATTCATCTTTTGCCATGGAAATTTATCAGGAAAGTTTGTGAGCATGTTCCTAAATGTATGAGTTTTCTTGTGTAATGTTGAACTTAAATGAAGTAACTCTCATGAGTCAATTTTCCAAGGCCCTCCACTTCCTTATGAGCTGATATGCTGCAAAAAGTTTAACTTGAGCGTAAAATGAAAGATTCTATTGAAAGGTGAGTACATAATGTTGTTGTGAAGGCCCAAAAGTTCTAGAATAACTGGATTTACCTAAACAGTTTATTGGCCTATAGCTCTGCAAGCTGCATTTGAATTGAAAGAGTGATTGAAGTATCCTGGAATCATGGATGAGAAATAATGTTGCCCCTGAGGATATACTTTTTTAAACTGCAGATGTTATACAGTCGTGTAGAAATATACTTCATCTGACCAGTAAGGTACCTTCATTTGGTGAGGATAAGAACATTCTGTGAACCTGCTGCATGCTAGAGGCATGAACTATTTGCATCAGATCTGGGTCTGTGCTTCTCTCATTACATTCAGGAATGAAACAAAAGTTCTTTTAGCCTACAAATTTCCATCCCCAATACCAGTATTTATATTTCTTTGCTTATGGAGTTATTTCCTGCTTACAAACACAATGACATATAATGACCCTTCCACAAATTTCTCATATATATGTCATGTTCCTTTTATATAGATCTGCTGAGGTAGACCAGGTCATCTCCCTCATGATCCTCCTCATCGGGAGAAACTTCAACTATTGAACAGCACCCAGGATCAGTATTGGAGGAGGTGATGGAAGATGCTGATGAGCCAGTCAGAAGAAGCCTTAACCCTTAGAAGATTCTCTGTATTCTGAAGGGGTATGACATGATCTTGTCTTGGGAACAGCCAAGCTAATTAAAAGTACTGTTTGCTATACAGTACTTTTGTATGCCTAAATAGGCAATCCATTTATCAGATCAAAGTCTGAGAGTGAAAGCATTCAGCCCATATTTCATGAGAACTTCTTGAATCAGTGGTTATTGCCAATATCTCTTGCAGGGAAGAGACAAGACCTCATGCTAAGGAGAACCCCAAGGCTCTTTATCGGTATGCTAGTGGTAGGTGTCAGCATTCGATCAAACTGCTAATGAATGACAAGAGGGAGTTGATTGCACGTCATAAGGATTTGGCCAGCATAATGAACGAGTTCTTCGCTTCTGTTTTCACTGTGGAATCCGACAAAGCACTGACATTGGAGGAGGTGACCTCAGCGCGTGTTGAGGATATTTCCGAGGAGACAATTGTGAGTATGATGGGAAAGCTAAAGGTGGGCAAGGCAACCAGCCCTGATGGGATACCTGCAAGAGTCATTAACACTTTGACTGCCGAGTATTGAAACACCCAGCCATTCTCTCCTTGCCAAGCAGTTTTCAGAGCAACAGTGGAGGATCCCCACCCCAAACAAGTCGAGACTGCCGGAGATTGAAATGTCCAGCCAAACACCCATTACAAAGCACTTCTCAGTAAATTAAGACGTTTTGGCATTGCTTTATTAAAAAACAAAACAAATCTCGTCAATCTTTAAAGCTGCATGAAAGCAAGTTTCAATATACCTTTAGTAACGTTTGAGCATGTGATACTTCACATACCAAGCACCAGGATGGAGAGGCATGCCATATACCTTTGTTGCACTTCAAGTTTTATTCCGGCTGCACACTCTACCTACACTCTACACTCTCTGGTGTTTTCCTCTCAATTTCTCGAGCTTGTGTTCATTCATATTCCCATTTAATCATTTAGCTGAATCCTTGGCAGGAACTCTCTTTGTTGTCTTTGCCATGGGAAGAGACATGTCTTCTGTGTCCATGTCTGATGCCTCTTGTTGCATGGAGTCTCCAGCTGCTACAAGGTGTTCAGCTCACTTCCAGGATATAGTCCAACTGGGGCATGTTGGACCCAGTAGTTTTCTTGTATGTCACATATGAGTTGAAGATGGCACATTGAAACAAGTAGAAGAAGACCTTCTTGGTCCACTTTACAGTCTTCCTTGTGAAAGGGTAGTACGATAAGTACTGGTCAGCAGCATGTACCCCATGCATATATTTGTTATTATCCACAATACAAATGGGCTTCTTCTTGGCTGCTTTGTCATCGTTTCCCTGATTCCTTCTTTTTGGAACATCAACTAGTGCACTTGTGTGAAGGGTAGAAATCATTGTTATGAAGCGCATGTCTTTCCAACATGAGACAAGGACCTGACCCTTGCGCTTGTGCATTTCCTCTCCCCTTGCAAGCGTTTTCGATTTAATGATCAGTTCCTTAGGTGTACCTCTATTTGGTCTCAGAGTGCCACAAATCCGCACTTCCTTCCTGGCCAAGTCCTCGGCTAATGATACACTACTGTAGAAATTATCCATATATACATGGTATCCCTTTCCATGATAGGGTGCAATAGTGGAAGCCAGACTGCCACATTTTCCATTATAAATTTCCATGGTTCATATGTAGGCTGAGGAACTTTCACTCATTAGGCGAACTAAAATTCCATACCGGATGATTTTCCTGGGATTGTACATCCTAAATCTGAGTCTACCCCACCGTGTAAGTATGCCTTCATCCAAAGACAGCTGCTGTTTGGGTTTGTACACTTCTTGGGAAATTTCAGTGAAGTGGTCCAGTAGAGGTCTTATTTTATACAACCTGTCAGAGTCCACTGGTTCCTGGTTATCATTGAAATGCAGAAATTTATGGATCAGCTGGAATCTGTTCTGCGACATCGTTTTGCCGAAGATGGGTGTCTGAAGAACGTCCTTGATGGACTGTTACATTTCCAAAGTAGGTTTTTTGACGATGCCAGTGAGCATTGCTAGACTTAAGCATTTTTCATCTCATTTGGTGTCAGGTTTCTATTTGTCAAACCGGGAGAATTGTCTGGATGGCCTGAAAGTGGAATCCAAAAACTGATGAGCATAAGAATTTGTGTGCAAATAAATTCAACAAATTCTTTGGTGATAAAAGTAGCAAAATACTGCATGACATCATCTGGATTATCCACTTGCAAATTTAGACCTGGATTCCCTCTGAAATTTGATATATTTGGGGATGTGTCAGTTTTTTGACCAAGAGTCTTCTTGCAAGGTGGGGGTGACGCCTGCTTGAAGTGGAGCATCACCACCGCCATGGCGTTGCTCATCAGCATGAGAATCTGATGCTGCATCTGTAGATCTAGTTTGTGTGAAAACACACATGATTTTCTTCATCACTATCATCTTCTCCAATAAACAAATCAAGAGTCCAGATAGTTAGTGATATCAAGAGGCGATTTCACCCAATCAGCCTCAGAGTCACTGTCTGTAAATAATTCATTGAGCATGTCTTCCACTGTGCACTTCTTAGCTGTTTACTTTCTTGGTCTCTAAATGTAAGAGACCTATACAAACATACGCCAAATAATATTTAATGAAGCAATTATGACAATAGCCCATGCAGTTGTGGCGAGACACGAACAAAACAGCTATTCAACAGGGCTTTCCAATTGGGCAACGATGTTAATTTTTAGTTTTTTGCTAACAGGTAGCACGAGGAGAGGTAAACAAAGCAATCAGTTATGATTGGAAACTCCAACACAATTTTGCAGAGTGCTGCTAGGGGTTCCCCTCAACACAGTAGTAGACTGTTTTTTTGCTGCCATCTCTGCGAAAGTGAAGTACGTAAAGCCAAACGTGAGCGCACCATATAGTGTAAACGGCAGTCAAAGGGTTAGGGAAGCCGCGCCAGAGATATCGGTTCCGCTAAGAATTTAATTTGAAAGCAGCGTTTTGCGTGGTGAAGTACCTAAGGACTGGAGACTAGCAAACGTACCGATCTTTAAGAAGGGCGTAAAGAGTCATCCAGGAAATGCAGGCTGGTAAGTGCCATTAGTATCCCAGGGAAGATCATGGAGAGCATACTAAGGGACCATCTCTAGTCGAAGGAGGTCGGAGTCGCAAGCGGTGTCCCTCAAGGTGAGATCCTCCAACCGCTTGTGTTTTTGGTCTGCATAAACAATTTGGATCTCGACGTAGAGGGTAAGATAAGTAAATTTGCCGACGACGCCAAGATAGGTTTTACCATAAGGGGGAGGCGGATAGGGTTACAGCCGAGTGAGATTTAAGTCTTTTGGACGAGTGGAGCAAGAAATGGCTCGTGAGGTTTAACAAAAGTAAGTGTAAAGTTCTCCACGGTCTCTCGACACGTTCGGCGATGTTGAATTGGATGAGGCAAACGGAGAGAGAGATTAGGAGTTTCTATCGACGAGAACTTCAAGTTTTCCTCGCACGCGCAAGCGACGGTGGCCAAATGCAACATGATTCTAGGTTACATTCGTCGGTCTGTTGCAAGTAGGACATCTCGCGTTATTCTTCCGTTGTATGCGGCGCTGATAAGACCCCAGCTGGAATAACGTTTCTTCTGTGGCCATAACTATGCACCAAACCCTGACCGAAGTAGTGGCTGCCCCGCGCTGTGACCATCTTTAAGAAGAAACTGGATGCTTTCATGGACAGGCAAAAAGTTGGGGCCAATATTGAAGATAAGGGCTAGACAGTAAACAACGAGGCTACCAAAAAAATCCTCAGAAATACAAAAATATTTAGCTTTAAGAGGGTTTAAGGAACGCTCGAGATGGACAAGTGATATCGAAGTGGGCCAAATCGCCTTTTGATATCACTAACTACCATGAACATTCAAGTGATATAAGAAAACGTTAAGCCAAAACCTATGAAGAGTTGCGAAGTTAGGCCTAACGTTAAGTTTTAATTAGTTTTGTAACCAATAGTCATCTTAGTAACTGTCGACTCTACAAAGTTAATGTAATCGAACTCATCAATTCATTTGAGAAACCTAGTAAGACCAGAAACACTCCATTGTATGATGGATTCATTATTGCAATAAGGCCCAATTGGATGAACTTTATTTTGCAATGTTTCCTTTTTAAGAATAATGAGAGTAGCAACATTCAGTAGCAATGAGTATGACACCCTTAATGCCTCATGGCAAATGAAACAAATGATTCAAGAATGAAGCACTCATAACTATTTAGTATTTTGAAGCACTCAGAAATGGTGTGAAAAGGACAATAAATATCAAGGCAAAAATGTTAGCCTGCTATGGAAAGAACATGCCATCACTGAAGAATTGTAACATGCAAGGGAATGCCTACTCATTAATGTCCTGTGCCGTGTGACTTGGCTTTAGGTACATTATTGGCCACACTGGCCTCTTGACATTGTTTCTTCCTTTGCCTTCCAGCACCAATTCTGGTGGTTGTTTTTTCCATCTCCACTCTTCTGGAAATAGATATAGGCTCTACTCTAATTTTCCCATGCATCTTTCTCCTGGTTGAAGAAAATAAGAAATCAGCAAGTTGATTCTGATTGATGATATTCCTTGTGGACTTTGATAACTACTGCATGGCTGCTATCATTGACTCATTTGGATTTCCTGCTATGTTGACTAATCTCATCATGTCATCTTTGAATTTCTGGACAATTGGACTTGTGGGGTTGGGATGAGATGATGGCACTTGGGGAGTAGTTGAAGCATTTGGGAGAGAAGATGAGCCAGGATGTGGTGAAGCACAATCATCCTGAGGCAGTGATGAATAATCTTCTTCCAGATCTTGGTCTTCTTCCAGATCTTGGGTACTGAGTACTTCTTCTTGGACACCCAGGAAAAATGAGAAATCTGGACATTTGGCTCCAATGGCTAATTTTGCCAAAGCATGATGATCTGTTCATGAAAGAATTGGCATGTTGGGCAGGTGAGAGCCATTCATTAAGCCCAGAGCAAGCTGATGTTTCCATAGGGTACCAGAAGCCCCTGCATGGCATGTGCACATTTCATTTAACAGGTCAACCATATATTTCTTGTCACAAGAGGAGTTAATTTCATAGATTTCTTCAAAAAGTTTGGCAGTTGTGGCAACCTGTACAAGATAAATGCAATATCCACTATAAATCATGAAGTGGTGTATTGCTATCACAGGTACATATTTTACTTGCTAATGTAGTAGACAGAAATTAGGGTGATTGTGAGATGCTTATGTTCCTGTGATGGCCCAAAATTGGGGCAAATCCTCCAATGCATCAAATGCTTCCTGCTTTTATGCATAATTAAGGGATACTGTCATTCACTACAGTATTTCATTTTCAGTGTGACCAAAAAAAAATCATTTAAACATTTAAAAAAGTTGCAACCTCATATGCACAACTCTCAAGCTGCTGAAGCTTCTTGAAAAGTGATTGATTGTGCCCATATGCACAATCCCAGGAGACGGTGGTCATAGTATTGATTGAGCTCAGTGGTAGAAAATGAAACCAAGGCAATTATATTGAAGGCCTTTTGCCTCTGAAGGACTATGTCCTTCATTATATGGATAGTTGCCTCAGCATAATTGTTGGTGTTGTGAAACCCATTCCTCCTGTGACAGGGAAAATTACTATCTATGAAATTAACTTGGTAATCTCATTGCATCTTCTAAAGTAGCATCCAATTTTCATAGTATGATAAAAGTAACAGCATATGTAAAAACCCATGATCTCAGCCCAAAAGGTGCAAATGAAAAGCAATTAGAAAATAGGACACTGAAAAACATTGTTCACTTACCTTCCTCTTCCCTTAGAATTTAGTGACATGTTGGAGAAACTTGTCAATGTTACATGCTATATGTAGTTCAGCCATTCCCTGGATTGTGTATATGGGTGGTTTTTCTTTATGAAGCATCAGAAGTGTTCAAGGTAATGCTCATTAGGAATGTGAGTATTTGTATTATATGATTGATTATTATTTCAATTTGGATTGAGAACTGAATAGTGTGAAGAATTGAACTTTCGAAGTAATCATCTCATTACTGAAGAATCATCAAGTTTCTTGGTCACCAATATCATGGCCGACCTCATACGTGCTTAATATTCAGCATTGACATAATTACCTGATTATTTCTAATATTTCTTGGTTAATTCATCAAATTACTGAATCACTTGGTGTGGTTTATTTCATGCATGCAGTTCTGTTCTCAATTGAATTTCTGTCATCATTGTCCTTACTGTTTGCTTCTATTATTCTGAGGAGGAAAACCTCGGAAAGTTTATGATAATTAATAAGCTATGCTGCATATGTAAAAGCATCTTACGTTGTAGATCCGAAAGCGTTTAATTGAGGTCGTAAAAAATACTCCCAATTAGGAAATTATCAACACTGCTACCGATTGCAAAACTCATGCTTACCTAGGCCTAACGTCTGGCCTAATCGCAGACTCATCTTGTTAGCGTTACGAATAAAGTTGGCCTGCCTTGCACTATCGATGTTTGGTGAGAAAACTCCAAACCTTACTAGAGCGAGTCTAAAATATTCATTACTCCCTGCTTTTCCGATAGCGCCGGAACCTAAGGTAACGTGGGAGTCGCCATTTTTCTATAATGATATTTGATGGGGCGTTTGATTGGCTGTTCCGGTCCCAGTTTTCGAACAGGAGTAAGGTTTCAAAATATGCTAACAGGTGGGGAGTCCATTTCGTCACACATGCCCATTACAGTAACATAGCAATTAAGCGCTTTCGAAATCATTTAGTGCATAATCAGGGATAACACTAAGAAATCAATCGCGCACTTTTCAAACCGGTAATACAGGTGAAAAACAAGGCAATTGTAAAAAAGAAAAAAACCAATCGCGAAGATTAGTCCATTTTTGTATGAGATCTCAGCGTTTGTGTTGAGAGAAACCAGTGAGGTATAGTATACTCTCATCGAGTCACTCTTTGTCCTAGGGAGCTTCCCATTAATAAATAAACATATCGTTCTGATATTTATCTGGCTGTTTCTTCGGTCAGGGTTTGGTGCATAGTTATGGCCACAGAAGAAACGCTGGTGAACGGAAGGAAAAATGCGGGGCTGACAGTGAACAGACAAATTCCACAGACGTATCGGAAGAATTGTATTTCATGTCTACATTGTGTCGTCATGGTCGTCCCCTACTTATTCTTCATCGTTCTCTACACCCGTGAGTACAACGGCGAACTTTCTTTCCTGAGCGATTGAAGGCACTTTTGTTTCAAGATTTAGAATGCCCCTTTTCCTAGCGAGAGTTCCTTTTCATTTTCCCACAGAACACCGCCGATTTGAGCTGAAACAAATAAGGGAGGAACTAACAGAGGAAGCGAGAACGTGGCTCCAGAGACTTCCAACAATCCCTCGCTTGAACAGAACTGCCACAATATTTGTTTACGGTTTTCCACGCAGCGGTACTTCATTCACAGCTCGAATCATATCATCTCATCCGTCAGCGATATACTTCTTCGAACCCTTTGTAGGACCACCTCCTATGTTTGGCATGAAGATTTTCCCTCCTGATCCCGCTGTACATAAAAGTATTTTCACTTGTAACTTCCATGGGATCATCCCCTATCTCCCGCTATATCGCTGGGAGAACGCTTTGCTACCTCCCAACTGGCCCTATTCTGAGTTTGTATATGGAATGAGGCTTGAAGCCATGAATCCTTTCGTGTTCTCACGGATGGTGAGGAACGAAGTCTTCCTGAAAGAGCATTGTTCCAGGCATTCGATTCGAGTGATAAAGGAAACCGATATTGAAACCTGGCCGGAGATCCCGATTCTCATGAGGGAGATGTCTGAATTGAAAGTCGTTCGGATATGGAGGGACCCGTTATCAGTGTGGAAATCGAGGTCCGATGAAATCTGGTGTTCCAAGCTTTGCAAAGACCTCTCAAATGTCTGTCACTTGACGTTGGAACAACTGCGCAATAGCTCAGAACTCTCCAAGACATTTCCTGACCGTTACATCGAAATGCATTTTGAAGACTTTCTGGCTAACCCTCTGGAGACAGTTTCTAGTTTGTATTCTCGCCTCGGAATCCCCTGGCATGAAGCCGTTGAAGACTTATTAAGAAAACCTTTGCGAAAAAAGAAAAAATGCCAACCTGAGTGGACAGATGATTTTCCTCCCATTTGCAAAATCGCTCAGCAAGAACTCTACTGGCATCGTTTTAATACCAGCAAGGTGTGATACAATAGAAATGGAAAAGAAATAATTTTTTCTTAAAGTCGTAACAGTCTTATATGAATATCCATGTTGAATTGCGAACATTGAAGGCATGTAGCTGCCTTCATGACTTGTCCTTTCTTAAGATAGTTGGTAACTGGGTTCTTTTATGAGTGAGCAGTATGGCGCTCATGGTGAACTATCTATGGCTGCCAGAAACTGTATTGTAGATTATGTATTTCGTGATTTGATCACTTTACTCCCTGTGTGTGTCTATGGTGTTTCTGCCGGAAGCCTCATATTCAATAACTGTGACTTATGATGTCATAGTGCTCAGAGATACCACGTAAAAATATTCAAATGGTCCTTTCAGTTTCGCATATAGGAAAGTGAATACCCATTTAAAAAGGTTTTACCTTCCTTCAACCGCAATCCAACCTCCCTCGCCCGCCCCCTCCTCTACCTTTTCTACGGGAATCACTAACGTTAGGCATAGGTCTAACCGACCGACTGCCTTCCAGGCCCATCTTTTTTCCGTTCAAAGAAAACTCAACCATCGGTCTACGGACTATCTACAATTAGGCCTATAATGATTAATCCCTAGTCTTGGAGGCACCTCGTTGTTGAGGACGTGTAACGTTAGGCCAATCGTAGGCGTATTCAGTCTCTCATAGCACATTTAACAGAGAACGTGTAACGTTAGACGGAATTTGTCTCTTTACGAGTTTCATGAGCCATTTCGGTGCGGTCGGGGATCATTAGGCCGATCCAGATTTCCTCGAACCGTCTCAACTCCTGAGAAGAAAGTGCATTTAGAAAACATGGCATACAAGCTGGCCGCCATCGCGTTAATTAAGGGATGTCCAGATAAGGTATCTCCGTATTCCACCAAATCGATCGGAAACTGCCAAACACCGCTTCAATCGCAGCTCATCCCATGAATTCAGCACGTTAATGTGTCCTACATTAAAAAGAGAAGATCCAGACAACGATACTAAGGCCGAAGAAGTCGTGAATCTGGGATAACTAAGGCATGATATCCGGCAACACTGGAGGACGGGACTGGACCCATCGGGCTATGCCTACATTATTGGCATCTAATTACATTTTTCATGGGGAAATGGTGCATTGAAATAAAATAGAAAATTAGGCTTTTTGTCACATCCAGGTCAATATCTTTCGTTTGGTTGTTCTCTTTCCTCAAAACTTTCCAAGAGCGGCTACTCACGGAGGAGGAAAATAAGTACCGGAATGAGTTTCACATCTCCCAAAGGCGAAATTCAGTGATCTCCACAGCCCTGGGGAGATGAAGCTTTTCAAATTTGCTGGAGTTATTCTGAGCAAGAGAGCGAGAACTATGCCAAATTTCATCCCTTTGATGCTCTCAGAGAGGAATACGAGACGGTTGAATTTTGTCGCCGGAAGGGGTTGAAGAAAGGTAATTCGTGTTCCAAGGCTGTAGGATGAAATTATCGGAAATATCAGGGTATTTGCTGAACATGACAGTTCATGGGGTTAACAAAGTATTGGTACAGTGGATTTTCTTACATTTTTCATACCTACTTCCCCCAAAAATTTTTCCTGAGCAATTAAAGAAGCACTTGTTTCATGATGTAGAATGTCCCTTGTGAGAGTTTCATCTTCCCACAGAACACCACCGATTTGAGTCGAACCAAATCCGGGAGGAACTGACAGAGGAGGCGAGAACGTGGCTCCTGAGATTTCCAACTATTCCTCGCTTGAGTAGAACTGTCCCGATATACAGGGTGACCAATAAGTTCACAATAGTGAATCACAGAGAAACGAAAGTTTATATGCACACTGTACTGGCTAATATACATGCAATTTCCTTTTCGTTTTTAATGTAATCCCCCTTGGTGACAATAACATCCTTAAGGCGCTCTTTAAATTTCCTCGCTGCGGCACAGAGCATATCTTGGGGGATTTTGTCCCATTCAGCACACAAGGATGCCTTCTGCTGCTCCAAATTCTTGCGCTCTTTGTTACAGGCATTGTGCTCTAGAATGCTCAAAATTGTAAAATCTATTGGATTAGGATCAGAGCTGTCGCTTGGACATTCGTTCTTTGCAATGAAATCTGGAAAATTGGCCCGAATCCACTCGACACTGAATTTCACAGTGTGTGAGGGGCTGAATACTGCTGGAAGCACCAGGGAGTGCTACCAAATGTAGCAAGGCAAGACATGCTTCTCCAGCACCTCCTGAATGCAGTACTCCTTGTTGATCTTTCTGCCCAGGTCGACGAAAATTAGCGGCGTGTGGTGTTCAGCGGAGATACCGGCCCAGACCATTACAGAGAAAAGCTTCTGCTTCCTGGGAACAAGGAGCCCAGGGCCCTTGCTATCATTGGAGTAAGATCGGCCATTTTGGGCATTGAACTTCTACTGGATGGTGAAGAGTTCTCATCGGTGAAAAGGATGTTCCGCCAGCGATCTTCTTCCATGGGATCATCCCCTTTCTCCCGGTATATCGCTGGGAGAACGCTTTGCTACGATTCTATAAGATTTTTGAAATCTAAAAATCGTATAGGATTCTTAGATACAATTGGATCCTATAAAAATCATGTAGGTTTCCATGAGAACCCTATGGTATTCTTATACGAATCCTACAATATTTTTATGTTTCAAAAACTTTCATAAAAAAGCAACCATTACATGGAATGCGCAATTTTGTTGCAAACCGCGTGCAATAGGCCAGAAAATGCCGTTCATTGCACGAATTGAGCGGTGACAATTTATTACATTCGGTATTAATTGCCTTGAAAAAACTTGTCAATTTTGTCGAAATTATAGGTCTATGTCAAAAGGATTTAGTGAGTATTTAACCATGTCTTCTACCAAGTACTCTCCATTCATGGTTGAGCCAAGCATTGAGAGAGTGTGGCATGTGCTCCCACCTCTCATTCCTCCCTTCATGCAAAAGCATCTTGAAGTTTGGCACATTCTGAAGTCATCTTCTCTCCAACAATTCCCTCGGAGCTCATTTATTGTATGTCGACTCGTAAAGGTCTCCCGGTCGTGTCTCACACGACTTGTTTCTGGTGTTTCAAACACCACCGGCATACTCACTCCTGTACATGAAACCAAATAGGCGGAAATTTGAATCGTCTGTCTTGAGCATAACGTCTCCTTGACATCCTCTGTTCATCGCATTACCCATTCGGAACTGAACCGATTCACTAAATTCATACACATACAGCTTACAGTACACAGGGATATTTTGTTCCTAAATACCATCATGATTTTTGAGCATTAGCTTATGGCCATTTCCAACAACTCGTTCGACTTTAGTACAGAAGGAAGTTAGCGTATGTGTGGCACAATACTAACGAATGATTCCTGAAAATGCCTCGCCCCCACATTAGCACCAGCGAGCAGCACTTTCAGGGTAAAGTCTGACTTGCAGCAGGAACACTTTTCCGTTGTGGCAGTAATGTGAAAAAAATGCCCCCTCCCTACAGCAAAATGTACAGCCTGACAGTGCTCGCCACGGCAAAACGATTGAAATTATTGAGATGACAAAATGTCCCGAATTCCGTGGTGTAATGCTAGCACACCTGAACGGCAAGCAGGAGTTCTGGGTTAAATTCCCCGCCGCCCCCCAGCTTTCGATTCCCGAGTTCTGCGTTCCTTGCATCAAGTTGCCCTGGAGGCTGCACGACGTAAAGGAAATACAGGGGGCGAGAATCGAACCCGTGGGCTCCTGATTGCCAGTCAAGTGCGCTACCACTACATCACTTTTAAACGTGCCTATTCATGCCTACATGAAAAGTGGTGGGATGGACTTCAGGTAAGCACACGGTCGCAATCGTTCCTGGATACGAGTGCCACTCGTGTCTGCTTCGCAAAAAATCGCTCACTTTCTTCTGACCGGAATCAGAATCCAAACCAAACCTTTCATGCATGGAGATGGGATGTTACTAAATGAACAGGTGGGTGAATGTACATGGATTGTACTTCATCTAACCAACACAAGAACTGATGAGCCGATTTGGGCAATTTTTCTCGTCGTGAGTGATC